GCTGCTGCTGCTGGGAATTCCTGGTGATTTCTGGGGATGCTGGATCTAGAACTTTTCTAGGTGCTTCCCAGATCTAGAACCCTCCTAGGGTAGCTTCGCTCTAGAGCCTGGCTAGGACTTAATTCCTGGCATGCACTAGTGTTCCTAAACCAAGCACTTTTATAGGAAACCCCAGATCTAGAACCTTTGCTCAGGAACTCCTGCAACTAGAACATGATTCCTGGTGATTTCTGGGGATGCTGGATCTAGAACTTTTCTAGGTGCTTCCCAGATCTAGAACCCTCCTAGGGTAGCTTCGCTCTAGAGCCTGGCTAGGACTTAATTCCTGGCATGCACTAGTGTTCCTAAACCAAGCACTTTTATAGGAAACCCCAGATCTAGAACCTTTGCTCAGGAACTCCTGCAACTAGAACATGTCTAGGCAATTCCAAGGTCCTCTTTGCTCTAGAGTACTTCTAGGATTCCCCAGCACCAGAACACTTTCAGAAAGGCTCAGACCTAGAACAGTTCTAGGTTCATTGGTCTAGAGCAGTCCTAGCTGCCCTGATCTAGCATGATTCTAGGCTCACTGATCTAGAATGGTCATAAACTCATCGTCCCAGAACATTGTCAGGATTTCCCAGATCTGGAACAGTTTCCATGACTTCCACTGCTCTAGAACCCTTCTAGGAATTTCCAAACCAGGAACATTCCCCGGATCCTCAATCTAGAACCTTCTCAAGACCCCCGTCCCCCTGATTTAGACTGTACCAACCCAGAACCATTCTTGACTCACTGGCATGAAATGATTCTAGACTCCCTGGTCTAGAGCAGTTCTGGACTCAACAGCCCAGAATCTAGACTGCTTCCCAGTTCACCAGTCCAGACCTGTTCTAGACTAATTGGCCTAGACCAGTTCTAGGTCCAGCAATCTAGAACCCTACCAAGATGTCCTCAGTCTTGAACCTTTCCAAGAATTTTGCTACACTATAACCTTTCCACAAATCCCACCGCGCTAGAATCCTAAATGTAGTGCTCCACTCTAGAACACTTCCAGGAATTCCACATGTACACCCCCCCCTCCCCAAATCTAGAATGTTTCCAGGATCTTCCCTGCTTTAGAACCTCCCTCCAAACACCCTTTCTGGAACACCCAGATCTAGACCTCCTGCAGATTCCACACCCCCCACTCCAGATCTAGAACACCTCCAGAGGCCTCCCCAGATCGAGAGCCTTTCCAGGGAACACATGTACGTACACACACACACACACACACACGTTCCATCCCACCACCTCCATCAGGAACCTCCTTGGGTTCCCCCGCTCAAGACCCCAGCAGAATTAAAGGAGGGAGGCCGGAAGCACCCTCTGCAGAGCCTCCTGCCAGACCGATGCCCACCGCCGGGAGGTGGCACCCACCAGACCCGCACCCCCGTCCCCCCAGGAGCTCCTGGAGCTGCCAGAGCAGCAATTAAACCTTAACGAACCTGGCCCAGAGGGCTGCGATTTTGTCACCTCCTTCCTCCTGGAAACTTCATTCCAACTTTCCCTCCTCCCTTTCCCCTTGAGGAGGCGCTTCTAAAACTGAAGAAGTGCTGCATTTCCGTATTTCTGAACCAGTGTGAAAATAATAAGAGAGCAGTATGTCCCCCGGTTCCTGCGAAACCACGAGGATGCTCAGAAGTGCTAGAAAAACCCCATCTGTTAGCAAATCCTGTGGCAGGTCTAAAGGGATCCCGGAGAAACCCGTCACCTTTTTCTGGCGGCCCAAATCCTTTCCTCTCCGCTCCGTTTGAAGGAATTAGTAGAATTTTTCACTCCTTGTTTCCTCCTCCTCTTTCTCCTTCCCAGGACGAACCCCGGCGAGACGCTGCGCGCCCTTGGCAGG